AGTTATGTTTTGTGAATTTCGCGCAAAGCTGCACGAGGGCTATCTGCGCTAGCCGTCCCTAATTTAGCAGTGTAAGACTAGAGGGAAGGCAGCTAGTCATCACCACCAACTCTTGGGCTACTCTTTTACCAACGAACAGTGAGATTGACCGTCACATTATAACACCCCCACGGCTGAAAGGGCGAGCATGTTTGGTGGGATGCGGATTCGAACCCGCGACCCTCAGATTGTGATTCGATCGCCTTATCCACCTGGCCATGCCGGACACTTGTTAATATGTTATCTTGGTTATAAGGTTGTATTTTATAACATATTTTTATTTTGCTTATCATGGTCATATTGTATACATGCAATCATTTAGTATCACTGTGTTTTGTTTTTATGTCAGGAATATTTTATTGTTTGCTCTTATTAATGTGAATGGTTTAGGTTTTAGTTGTTTTGGGTTTTAAGTTATGTTACACAAGGAATATTTTCATTTGTAGTTGTGAGGTTATTTTTTAAAAAGCATGGGTTATCTTTAAAGAGATTTATTTCATGTATTTTTGTTTTCATTGCTAGAGGGTATTTTGATTTGTAATCTGTCTTATCAGTGTAAAAATAACTTCGTTTTGTGTTAATATGTTATCTTGGAAACAGGTTGTATTTTTATAGCTTCAATTTCTCTGTAAAAATGTTATTTTGGTGTGGTATGTCGTTTCATTGCTGGGTGATGTTGATGTGTGTTATCATGGTTAAAGGATTTTCATTTAATGTATAACTTTCATCATTTAAGGGGTTCATTTTACACTTTGGTTATTAAAGAGTTGTTTTGTCGTATTTCAATATATAAAGTACGCTTTTTTTGTTATAAAGTTTTGTTTTCGTTGTTGAAGGGTATTTGTTTATTACTGGTTTGATATGTAACAGTTTCTTTGTTCAGGGTATTTTTCGTTCCTATATTTGTGTATTGTGATGAGTAGTATGTTAAACTACTCCTCCCAAAGAGGATAGGTAAGATGTGTAACTATACACCTGGAAAAAAGTTAAGCACCCCCGTGTTTTTTTCAAGTGATTCAGATTCGACGTTCTTGTGA